TTGAAGCTCCTTCTCTTTAAATGTTGATAAGTTTTTTGACTATTCTATGGATATTACCACTTGGTCAAAATTTGGAGCCAATGGCCTCAAGATCTTTGTCACAACTGATCTTGATGTCAATACTTCTCTATATACCTTGATTTGATTCACCAGTTTTGTAACTCTTGTTAAAAAAACTCTATTATGCTTCCATTGTCTTCTATATGAAACAATTCATACATTTTTTTGTGAGTTTGTAACCTTACCTCTTTCACTTTTTCTGCGCCTCCAAATGATTTTTACAAAATTTCCCATGCTTCTTTTGATGATTCTACATCACAGACCTTTTCGAAGTTACCTGGATCAACATATTAATGAAGTATAAAGAGAGCTTTATAATCTTTCTTCTTGAATTCCTTATGTGCAGTCTTTTCTCCATATATTGCGTTTCTTGGAAGTGGTGTCACTCCCTTCTTCACAAGATTCAAAGATCTTGATAACAGAAAACAACCTTCATCCGTTTACGCCAATTCTCATAATTCCAACCCTTCAGAATTGGGAGACTCGCCGGAAAATGTTCGTTCGAATGATTCGTCACCATCGTGTTTTGCTTCCCACGAATCGCTCAACCAGACACTGATACTAGATGTTTGAAATGCGCTTGATTCCCGCTCAAGAATTTCACCAAAGTTTGATGTATTCCGAACCAAATCTTGATAAACAGTAATCAATCTTTTTGATTGATTACTCCTCTTGTTCTTCACTATTCACTTGAGTGAATAAACCAATCTTGGTTGCAAGATTTCACTACACAACGGTGATGAAAGAAGAAAAGAAAATTTAGTTTGGGTAAGAAAAAGTTTAGGGTTTAATGAAAGAAGGAAGAAGAAGAATTGTTTATGCAGAGTTTCTCTCTGCTCTCAAACTGAGATTTTCTATTCAACTGTACAACTGCACTTCTGTGTTATGTTACAATTCATATTTGTAGATTTCGGCTTGCTTGCTCCTCAAGTAAGATCTAAAATACATAATTATTCTAACACTGCAAAATCAAATCTAAGTCGAAATTCCTGTCGAGGTACACTTCTTTGACGTTTTGAAACATACAATTTTGACACTTTCTTGCTTCTGTTGAGCAACATGTTTCGTCAAAAGGAATTACAATTCAACAATCATCAAGATGAAGATTTGTCCATAAAATGTAGGTTCATGTCAAAGTTCAAAAAACCTTTCCATAAATAACTTTATATATAAGAGTATGAAGTTCAAAGCAAGCACGACAAACCCTCTAATCGTCCGACCCAATTTAACGAACTGACCAACTAAGTTACACTCGAATTTTAAGATATGGATAACCGGAATTCAGCAATGAAGAGATATACTCGAACACTAGATTGAAATCTCCAAAACATCATAGGCGGACTCCATATTTGTATCTTGGCTTAAATACACTTTTAGTTTTCTAGTTTGATGTTTTTATTTTATTTTATTTTTAATCCTCTCATTTTAAAAAACAGTACTTTAGTCCCTAAAATTTACATCTCTTAGAATTTTCATAATCCCCCTCTAATTTTGTATATGTGGCCTCCTCATTAACGAGTGAGCCAAGTTAAAACTTATTTCATTTTTAATTAAAATAAATTGTTTTTCCATTTTATAAATTATTAATAACTTTTTAAATTTCATTTTAATTTAATATTAGAATAATTTAAATACGCAAAATAGCAACATTACATAAGAAAATCCCAAATAAGATTCAAACAAATTTAATCTCTAGCATTTTCTAACAACAAGATTTAACCTTCATACTCCAAGTCTTCTACACAACAAGACAATACTAATTAACTACAATTCACGAGTTAAAACAATCTCCAATTCCAAACACTTTCTACAACAAAGTCGCCCACTAATTTCCAATATAAACAACAAAATGCATCTAATTACTAACTCCAGTTGTATTCCAAATTCAACAACCAAGAATAAAATGACCAAAAAAGTTTAAAGGTTTAAGCCACGAAGTATAAATTCTTTGTTGTAGTTGGAAAAACCAAACACTACAAAAAAGGAACAGGTTCATATTAAATCATCCACATCAACAAAATATGTGTAAAAGAAACAATTCCAATAAAATAAACACTAGTGCAAAATTTGGGTTAAGGAGTAAACAAAATATGGGTAGAAGAACCAATTTTAATAAAGTAAACAATTTCAACAAATCTTTTTACCGTATCATCAATATAAACAAAATACGTACAAAAATAAGGAAAAAACGTGGTTGTCAAACTCGCAAGTAGACTCGTAAATTTGTATGAGTTTACGAGTCTAGGAAGCATAAAAGAATAGCCTCATGCATATAATTTTTTTTTATAAACTCGAATAAACTCGGGTAGAGTCGCACAAACTCGTATAGAATCGCGAATCTATAATTTATTTATTTTTTGAATTTTTTTTAAAACCAAAAAAGACCCAAATTCCCCAAAAGATTTTATTTTATTTATAAAAAAAAAAAACTTATTTTTTTTTGCTTGTACGATAGTTAGATAGTCTCTCTCTTAGTCTCTTGTTTCAACAAAGTTTCTTCCTCCCTTCATAAACGACGTGAGTTTGTTCTGCCCCTTGTCTTGTTCGTGTTCATGGACATAAATTAATCCTTTGTTGTCTAAGTATTTTCTTATATGATTCAATTTGATCATTCTCATGTATGATATCTTGTGTAAAGGTGATGCACTATTGTCCAATCAGTTCTAACGATTCAAATCACATGTATCAATTTGCACGTGACAAAATAGTTTAGAAAATTTATGGTTTATGGAAGAAAATAGTTTAGGAAGGATATGTTACCTTCTGAAGGGTGAAATTTCTATAAAGATATGACTCTAGAATTAAAGAGGTTTGTAATTTGTGTTCTAAGATTAACTTATAGCTCATCTAGTTGCGAACATAATTGAAATTCCTTTGAATGACAATGAATTATTATTTATTTGTTTATAAACTTGATTTTAATATTTTTAGAAACATTGAGTTGAATTATTATTTACTTTTTAGGTTCATAAAAAGAAAAGAAATAAGTTCCATCAAAAGAGGTGAATAATTTGGTTTTTGTCATTATTTAAAGTTGAAAAGTGAAAAAGAAAAATCAAATAGTGGTGTTATTTTATTTGTGTCATATACAAGACATTTATAAGTTTAAGAACACATGAGTGTGTCATATATGTACAAATTATAGATTTTGAATGTCATTTTTAATTTTTTATAGATTCATACAAGTTTGTGAGTTGAGTCTACAGATCCTTAACGAGTTTGAGTAGACTCGCGAGTTTGACAACCTTAATATAGATAGGTAAGTAGTATTTTTTTTTGGAGATTGAGAAAGCAAAAGTTGAGATAAAAAAGGCAAAGAGATTAAGTAGTGTTTCATTTTTTGCATGAAAGAGCTTGAATTTGAATGAGCAATATTGAGAGATTCTGTTTGAGCAACAATAGTCTCGGAAGAGAAAAACATTAAGTTCTTTGTTTTTTCAGAAAGGGGAATAGAAAAATGTTACTAATATTTTGCATATTTTAATTACCGAAATATTAAATTAAAATGCAATTTAAAAATTATTAATAATTTATAAAATAAGAATAATTAATTTCTATTAAAGATGAAATATAATATGACCTGACTCCACATACATGTCACATATACACATATACAAAATTTAACGAAATCATGACAATTTTAAAGAATCCGAAGTTCAAGAATTAAAAAATTAGTTTTAAAATAAAAAGATTAAAAGTTAAAAAACATCAAATTAAAATAGACAAAAATGCATTTAAACATTGATATGTAACCGCATTGTAGTTTCAATATTATTCCAACATACACAAGTTGTCGATGATTTTGGCAAGGGAATAATGAGCCTCACATTTAGATTTTCTTTTTCTTCTAACTCTACACAATATTAAATTTACGTATGCACCAATCTAACATTAACATTCATTTTCCTTTATTGCTTGGCCAAATTTCATATTCAAGTATAGGTACTAATGCAAGCTCCAACCGTTTCCTAAAACCTAACCAAAAATAAATTTGCAACCCATTTGACATTTCATATCTGAACACCCCATTTGTCAGAGTATAGTTGGCCACATTTCAACAATAATACAGAGAATAATACTTAAATAAAGTACCAATTATAAATGAATATTATTTTTTTACATAAAAAAAGCTAATAAATTGAGTCAAAAAAAGGATAAGTAACCGACATAGTACCAAGGAACCCATTTGACATTTAGCCATAAATAGATACATACTTGTCCTTTGGTGGCTCCAATAAATGAAACTCATGGAGTGCTCACATTCTCTTCAAACTTGTCACAAAAAGTTCCATTTCCATGCTTTCTACCCTCTCACACAACACAACTCTATTGTCCTAATTACAAGACAGAAAAACCAAAAACAAACATGGAATTGGGAATTTACTCAATTCACCAAGCTTTAAACTATATGGAAATTATTCTAAAATAAATAAAATACAACAAAGTTTAATACAATACTCAAATTTGGTCACAAGAGAAAACAAAAGTGGCAAATAGAACCTAATACTTTTAAATTTTTGTACTTGCTCTACAAATTTTTATATTAGAGTCAAATGTTGGAAAATGTGGTCGGTCATATCTGCGTTGTAGACTGCAATTTAAAATCACATGACGAATGATATTTAATATTGTCGACTGCAATTTAAAATCATATGACGACGAGAAAATTAATCTTAAATTTGTGAGCTTTGAGTTGCTATTTCTTCAAAGATTGTATCTTTCTTCATGCGACATTAGTTCTAGCTATTGTTGTATAAACATACATTCTTGTTGCATCATGTGCATGCAAGAATATGATGAGACTCCATAAAAAGATGATAAATATAAACTATGAAGAAAGAAGAAATTGATGAAGTTGGGTTATTGAAGTTGTATGTGCATAAAAATGGTGATTTTGGATTGCTATTGGGATATAGATAGAACTAGAAGTAGAAATAGAATCAGTTGTGAAGTGGGTTTGGTCCAGTTGGAACTAGCCTCTTCTCTACACCAAATCTTGGATCAATCTCATAATCATTGGAAGGTGACACTTGTTCATCCAATCTTTGTAGTTTGGTGCATAAGGAATGAGTGTTTCTCTTAGAAAAAGAATCACAATCAAGAAGATGATGATGTTGGTTGTGAGTGTTTCTTGAAGAAGTTGAAAATGGGTGTTTTGGGGAATGAAGTCTAGAATTAGCTAAAGAGAAGAAAAAGAGAAGAAACAAGAAGATGATGAGTGTTCTACATGGTGAAGATAGAGATCTCTTCATTTCTAAAACAGAGGAAAAACAGAGGAAAACAGAGGAATGAGTAGTGAAAAGTGTTGTTTGAGGTTTAGAAAATAAAAGAAAGGTGAAAGAAGGGTGTGAATGATGAGAACGATGACGAAAATGAGATTATTAATGCAAAGCAAGAGACACATGAAAGTGTGTAATGGCAAAGAAAAAGAAAGGGGGGCTAGGTCAATTAATTTTAGGGTTTTGGATATGTAGTCACCAATCAAGTTCACATCTTTCAATCACATCAAAAAGGGTCATGGAGTTTATATGTGGATGTTTATGAAGGATGGTGTGGATGATTCAAACAATTGAGACTTTTGGGTTGGCCAAACAAAAAAGAAAGTTGGGTTGGAGAGGGAAATTGGTATTTTGGGTTGGGTGATTTTAATGACCTATTATCATGTATGGATGGTTGTGTTTGACTTTTTTGTGTTCATGATGTATACCTAAAATAATTTCTTATTTTTAATCAAGAAAAGTGAAACAAGTTTTTAAAAAGTGGGTTAAAAGTTTGATATTGTATCTTATTCTACTCTACTAGGGTTAGGTCATGTGTGTACCTTGATAAAGGGTATGCAACCAAATTGAATAGTTATTGCTGATTTTTTCACATTTTATTATGTTTTTAAAATTGAAATGTTTTGGTATATTTTATTTAGTGATAAACAAAATAATAAATGTGATGCCTAAGTTACTTGATATAATTCATAATGGTCTAGGAGATTAAAAACAAATTCCACTCAAACCGGTAGTTGTTATGTGACTTTCATATATGAGATACAGTAAGATTTATTTATTGAAACTCAAAGAAGAAGGGTTTGTGAAAAAGAAAATACTATACCTGAAATAACTCCACATTATTCTTTTGAATTTAACACTATAGTTGAAAGAAATTTTAAGAGAATGAATTCTTATGCAAATTATTAGGGCGTCTTTGTTTCCGCTTTAAAAAGTTAGTTTTTTTTTTTTTTTGTATTTTATAAATTGAAAGATTAATTTTAATATTTTATAACATAAACATACATTATTAAAAATTAAAAGATAGTCGAAATTACAATTTTTTTCAAAAAGTTGTATTTTAAAAGTAATTTTTATGAAAATCTATTTGAAATAACTTTAAAATTAAGTGATTTTTTGAAGTTTTGATATCCAATTTTTTTTTTCAATAAAATGATATAATATCTAAAATAACATTTCAAGAATAACTATTCAAACTAAATTTTTATTTGAAACTTTTATGAAAAAATTTATTATAATATTTTTTTTACACAAAATTATATTACACTATAAAAATTAGTTTTAAAAAAATACAAAACAAATGGGCCATAATTCTCGCGCACTTGACATGATTTGGGGTGAAACCCTGTTTGTTTATTTTTTGTTATTAAATAAAATTTTGCATATAATTATGTGTAAAAAAACCATTAAATTTTGAAGATGAATCTAATGTGAAATGCTTAAAAGTATGTGGTCTTTAACAAAATTATGTTTCAGGAGTCTAAAAATCGCATCTAAGAACTTTCATTATATAGTGTTCTGTTCGAACCATAATTAATATGGATTAACACTCAAACATTTAAGTCAGTTTAGAGTTTAAAATGAGTATAATGAGAAGTGGAAATCAGAAAAATATATCTTGAATCTCATGTGTCTTAACTTTATATATTGGACAATCTTGATTAAACTTGTGTATGATTGAACCTTTATATTGGGCATTTGACCGGTAAAAAACAGACGCCCCAAGGCTTGTTGGGCGTGTACTGACTGAGAAATCTTTCAAAGTCGTGATCGACCTTAAGGATGATATCCAACCATAGAAAGGAGTAGGAAAGTCGTTGATCATTTACAAAAGTAATTGGGGGAGGTAGGGTTGGCAAAGACATTAAATCTTTTTCCATCATTGAAATGTTTCGTTGGTTTTTCAGACGCATGGTTTTAGGTTATCAATTTAGGGCATATCGTTTTTTCCTAGGGCATTAAAGTGAACTTGAGTTCGCTTGCATTTTCTAGCAAAATTCAGTCCTTGATTTGCAACTTCCCATTTTTATTGATATGACATGTTGCCCATTTTCTTTTATAAATAAGGCCACTTGAGTTTCTAGAGAACTTTCTCCATTCTTAAGAGTCAGTTACTATTTGCAAGAGTATTCAAACTGTAGTAAAGCGGCAAGAAGAAAAAATTTAGTTTTAGAAGGATTCCCTTCGGGATTTATATCGTCTCCACAGGAATCGGTGCGAGAGAAAGAACGTTGTTCAAAGGTATCTACATTTCTAAGCTTATGGTTACAAAATGGTTGAAAGATCAAAAATACAATAGATAAAGGCGGAAAATATAAAGACGAAAAAAATATAAAGTAAAGACTGAAATATAAACGAAGATTTGTTGGAATTAAATCTCATCAACTGATAACACATGCATTCTTCTAACCAGTTAAATACAAATCAATCGTTCGTCTAATATCCTTACATATCACCCATAACCGAGATTATGTCTAACGCAAAGTCGAGAGAAAAATCGTATTGTCTCATTGGTGATGTCTCACGCAACTCAACAACACAGAGCATTAAGAACTGATAGTCAAGCAAATGTTAAGCCTAAGTCTATGTCTAGAGTCTAGAATCTAACAAATAATCATCCTAGATCCAGATCTGAAGAGTATTTTCAAATCAAAGATAAACAGGTAAACAAAGATGACATCCATATTAGCTTCATGATTGATTCATATAAAACACCATGATCAGAATACATACATATGCTTAACCCTTTTTACATACATTCAACTAACTTGCCAAATGTAAGTGAACATAGTTCTTCATCTCTATTATCACGCATCTTCACAATACCGTATTAATCTTACTCATGCTACTAATCAACATAATAAAATAGAATATACAAGTGAATATCAACTTACAAGACTATGTCAAAAGTTTGCTCATTGATAGATGAATATCTAAGATCTAAGATTTGTAAAAGGTTTTGTCAAGACCCACAAATAAGAAATCAAAGACAACATCAATAATGAATCAAAACTAGTTCACAAAACATATATTAGATGAAATAATTAAGATATCAAAAGATTACGTCTAAACCCAACAAGAAGTCGAAGCTCTTACCTTCTCCTTCTTAGGGTTTGTGTTTCTCTCTCTCTCTCTCTCTCTCTCTCTCTCTCTCTCTCTCTCTCTCTCTCTCTCTCTCTCTCTCTCTCTCTCTCTCTCTCTCTCTCTCTCTCTCTCTCTCTCTCTCTCTCTCTCTAAAATATGCTTGAAATAAAGAGAGATAAAATTATGATATGTCTTATAAAAGTTGTACAAGAGTTCTTTCTAAAAAGTGAGAAAAGTACATATATAGTAAAACAAAAACATGTTTTGTTCGCATAGCGAACACCCTATTCACCCAACGAAGACTATTTTTGGGCACTTCAAGTGCCTCAAGAACAGTTAAACCGCCCTTAGAAAATATATGAGTTCGCCGTGCAAGCACTTCTCCGCACAGCAAACTGCTTCGCTTCAACTTCACCCAACGAACTTTGGGTCCTTTTCCTACTGCATCTAATCTAGGCTGGTTCGCTGGGGCTTCGCCAGGACCTTACACAACGAGCATTCGCTTTCAACTCACTGGTGTTCGGACAATGAACATGCTGATTCCTCTTCTTTTCTTTGGCTTCCTTGTCCACTTCACTTGTGTCTTAATCATTAATGTTTTATGCCTATATTCTGCACAATAACACACACATCAAGACATTTAAAGGTATTTGCAATATGTTGAAGAATCACACAAGAACAAGAATTAAATCGATTCAAACATGAGAATTGAGTTGAAAAGTACCAAGATAATTCAATTTAAGTCAAAATTTAAACTTAACAACGGGTAATTCCTTATTCCCCTATGAGCGTTTACCTTCCTAGAACGAAGCTTTCCTTCCACATTTATGCTAACCTTCTTCGTCAGATTCTGCTCTTTCAAGGTGCCATTCTTTAGCCCAAGCTTGCTTCATTCTTTCGGTATTTACTTTAATATGGTTAACACAATATTGGTGTAAGCCTTAGAGGCCAATAGTTTTGGTACTTGTGTCGAATTATTTATTAATAATAAAAGGCATTTTTTCTCATGTTTGTTTTTTTAAAGAATAATAAAGTTTCGAGAATAGATAGTTTGTTTAATGAAATATTGAGTGTGACTTAATTATGATATCCCATTAAACATAAGGACACAACTTTACTAAAGCATTAAAACTATCATGTGGATAGGCTGATGATCACATCTCATGGATCATGGATAAAGATTTATCAAGTCTTCACATATGTATGAATGTTAGGAGTAATATTTATACTGGATTTACCTAGCATGAGAGTACTACATAGTATATTATGCAAGTGTCATAAGCTATTCTCAATGTGAAAATAATGTATACTACCCTTCAACCTGAAACCACTATGGATCCTAAATGTGTCATAACCAATTCTCCATTAAAGGTATTAATCGTCACAAGAGGTAATTGTTTCTATCACTGATCATGCTGATTCTTTAGGATCGACTTAAGGGAAATTTGTTTTCTAATGAGTTTATATCGCGATTTCCCTTCGCAACATCTTCCATTAGAGTTGAAACGTTTTCTGATCCAGATTCTCATTGCTTAGTTAATAGTCAGTCAGCTCCCGTAATGATGCATGTATCTTATGATTCTAAGTCAGAGAAGTTTTCTGGTGACTCTCTAGGTAGGTAAGTTTTCTTTAGTGGTTGTTTCTTCAATTTTGTTTTTCCCAATAAAGATGTTGGGGACGATCATGTTGTTAACTTTGTGCTCATCTCATACAGAGTTCTTGGGGTTTTAGGTTCTTCTGGTTTGCTTACTTTAGAGATAGAGTTTACCATTTTGAATTGGGAGGATGCCACCAAAGTTTTTGAGACTTACCAAAGGGGTTACGGTCGGGATCCGAGTGATGCTGAAGTTAAGGATTATCTGGTGCGTGGGGCTCGTCCGGATGGTGTC